TAAACTGATGATATATAGTGGGGATAATAATCAATGTAATGAAACAAGCTATATGAATGGTTGAATGTGAAGCTGATGATGTGCCCTGTAAACTTTCACTCAATGCAAAATAAAAACATTTAATTAAAAAAAAAAAAAGAATTACAGCCTCGGCAACCCCATGGGGCAGTTCTACTCTGTCCTGTGGGGTTGCTATGTGTCAGATCAACCCTGCGGCAGTGAGAGTGGGACGTGTAGTCTGTGGAGGTCCCCAGAAGAGAAACGAGACGAACCATCTGCCCTCCTGTCCGGCTCTAGTGAGAGAGGTCTCCGGCCACGTAGTAGGAGCATCAGGGGACCACGCCGACATTTGGACGAAGGAGTCCAGTAATCACAAGCTCCCAGAAGCAGAAAGAACACCGACGAGCCTCAGCAGCAGTGGTCTCCTTTCTTCTTTGGGTTTTCCTCAGAAGGGGCCAGGAGAAGGTCCGGACGGCGGGGAAGGGGAGGACTCTTTCCCAGTTCCACCGTGGGCAACACGCTCCCATCTCCGTCTCCCGGTACCCACTGGGTGACTCAGAGATGTAGAGGCGTGCCGAGCCCCGGTGGTGGCTCAAGAAGAACCAAGAGAAACTAGGGACCAAGCCCAAACACTGTTGATTCCGGGTGTCACCACCCCGACACCCAGGCCCCGCCCTGCACCCATCCCGGCACTCAGGCTCCGCTCCGACTGTGCTGGACATCCTGGCTCCGCCCTCGACTCCGCCCCGGTTCCCAGGCCCCGCCCCCGCCCCGGGAACCGACTCCGCGGCGCTCGCTCCCCTGCGGGGCCGGGGGAGCCTCCAAGCGGAGAGGCTCCCGCCCGCCCAGAGCTTGGCCTCCGCATGGAGGGACAGCCGCCGTCGCCGGGATCCGGGCCGCTCTCGCCGCTGCTGCAGGGAAACGGGGCAGCAGCAATCCCGGAACCCGGAGCCCGGCAACACTCAGGACACGAGACGGCTGCGCAGCGGTACAGCGCCCGCCTGCTGCAGGCCGGCTACGAGCCCGAGAGGTGACGCCTTATGGCCGAGCGCGGGGTGCATCCGGGGCGGGAGGCTCCGGGGCCGCGGCGGGAAAGGGAGGGCCGGCGGCACACCCTTGTCCACTTGCTGCCTCACCTCTAACTTCCTGAAACGGGGTTCAGACGCCACACACCGGCTTTGGTTGGGGCTGCAGGCAGGCACTAGGCAATGGACTTGGCGCCGCGTTGTACAGGGAACAGAGGGCAGGAAACAGGTGGTAAAACCATATCCTTAAACCCCCCCCCCAAAAAAAAAACAAATAGTAGCTTTGGGTGCCACCTCGACAACACCTGGCCCTGGGGTTCCAGCAATGCTCGCTGGAATCTCTGTCCAACTTTGTGGACTCCTTAGCAGTTTCTTCCTAGAACTGTCTTCAGTCCCGCAGGCCGGCTCTCCGCCTCCTGGGCTGAGTGTGCACACCACCCACCTCAGGGACTCGCTAAGAGTCAGCACCCCGCTGGGGTCTGTATAGGAATGAGGGTCACTGCGGATGAAGGGTGTGGGTAATGCCTGGGCTCCGGGGACTGACTGAACAGGAGACTGGCTAATCTCTGGATTTTATCGCAGCTTGAAACGCAATCTACTGTCCTTCTGGTCCAGAGGATTTGGACTTCTTTCTCTGTCCCATCTGCCGGTGCTCAGCAGCTCCGGAGGTGACATGCTAGCTGGGCCTGGGGGTAGTCGGGGAGAGTTAGCGGGTGTTCTGCGCAGGGGCTGGTGCTTATGTAAGAACTTTTACCAGCTTAGTGGGTGCCCAGTGGAGCTGGCCCCTCCTCGTGCAGGCTGCCTCCCTAGAGTGGCCTATCCTCCAGTTCTAGAAATCCAGCTACTACAGCCTGGAGTACCAAAGAGGGGGTCCAGGAGCTGGGGGAGCATCTAGGAGCATCTAGGGGTTTGAAGGAGGCAGTGCCTTGGTTCCAGCAGGTATTGGAAGTGTCATCCCTGGAAAAGTCCAGGCCAGGGCCATATGCAAGACCATCCTTCTCTAGACTGTACTTCTGCATCAATGGGGTCATCCCATGTCCCTCACTCAGACTCAGAGGAAAACAAAAACCCAAACCCAATGCCATAGAGTCAATTCGGACTCATAGTAACCCTATATATAGGACAAAGGCGAACTGCTTCTTAGGGCTCCAAGACTAAATCTTTATAGAAATAGATAGCCTCATCTTTTGCTTTCTACCATGGAGTGGCTAGTGGGTTTGAACCACCAACCTTGTGGTTAGCAGCCCAATGCTTAAGCCACTAGACCACAAAGGCCCATGTAAAACCTGCCTATTAGGCTTCCACCAGTTCAGAATAGGACAGAGTTCTATGAGACTTCCCGGGTTTGAAGTCAGTGCTATTGCTCCCTGGCTTAAACAGCAAGCTATGTCCTCTGTTTCAGCTCGGCAATGCCAACGCATCCTCTCTTTCCCCTTAGCCCCGCCCCCAGGCCGCCCCTCCTCCAGACTGTCCCTTCAAACATCCTCAAACATGGTAGAGACCTTCTGGCTTCCTGCCTGGACCTCTATGCCCAAAGGGCACTCTTCCTTCACTCCTTTCCGGAAGGGGCTAAGGCACCCATTAACTGCTTTCACAGTGGCGAGGTGGGGAACCTCAAGGGGCCAGCCCTTCCTGGGTTCAGAAGGCTCACTGGTTGCCTGGGTGTCTCCTCCCCAAGGAAGCAGCAGCTGGGGAAGATCAGGAAGACGGAGGAGGAGGACTGGGAATGGGGTGTCTCTGGAAAAGGACAGCCCAACCCTGGTTGAGTCCGAAGCTTAGTATCAGGAGGAGCCCCTGAGACAGTCAGAACTGGAAGGGGTGGCAGGCTGTAAGGCCTGTTGTTACTAGGGAGGTGGCCTCCCCAACTTAGCCTGGCAACCACCTCCTCCCCTGGGTCCTGGACTTCTAGACTGGGGCAGATGTCACATTAAGGACACCTGAATGACAGACTCAGCTCTGCCCTGGTGAGACCCTACCATCCCCAACCCAAGTTATAGGGGACAGTGACACACAGCACAAGATCCTTAGGGGATGAGAAAGGTTTGTGGATTGCCTGGCTCTATTTGCCATCACAGCCCTGTCTCTGTGGTCAGGAAGATGCTCCAGGGCAGTTCTGAATGGCTGCCTCCCACTGCTCCAGCTCTTGGTAGCATGAGAGATACTAGTGCTGGTCCCTAGGAACACCTCCAGGAGCATGGGCCCCCTGGGTGGGCATATAAGTACTGAGGAGTCAGAGGTGTTTGGCAAGTTAGCCCAACCCCAACTTAACAGAGCCCCTCACTTGGCCAGCTCCTTCCGTGCCGGGCCCCTTCAGGAGCCTGCTTGTGGAGTCCTCATGAGTGGGGAAGGAAACTTGGACTCTGAAGGAGTCTGTGATGTCCCTGTTCCCCAGAGGGAGAGTGAAGAGGGCATCTGTGAGTGTCCTTTAACACTACCCCCCTCACCTCTAGCTCTGTGGGAAACCTCCCCCTTCCCCTCTGCACACAGATGGAAAGGCCTGTGTTTTACTGGCAGGGTCCCAGGGGCATCACAAGGGCGGCAGGGCATCCCAGGGAGCCTCATGGCTTGGAGACCCAGGCTCTTCTGGGCCTAGCTGCCACCATACTGCTGAGAGGTAAACAAACCTGGCCTCCTGGGGGCTTCGGAAGGAGGGAGGGAGGGAGCAAGCACCACAGGCAGCTACTAAGTCAGAAGGCCTCATCCCTGCCCTTTCCTTCTCTCAGCCCACCAACGAGCTATGGGAACCACAGGAGCCCCAAGAGACCGACCAGTCAGTGGGATCTGGTGGGGAGAAGGGTAGCCACTCTACCTTGTCCCCAGGTGAATCAATTTGCTCTCCAACCTTACCACCACGCACAGAGTTGGGTCTTGTTGGGCACACACAGGGCTGCCAAACTAATGTTTGAGGAAATTTTCAAAAGTTCCCTAGCCTGGTCCTAACTTGCATACATATGCATACCGGACCCATGCTCACCACCTTCCCACGCACAATCCTCTAAAATAAAGATGCACTTACCTCTCTGGAAGGAACCTTGGTGGTACAATGGTTATGGTCTTGGCTGTTAACGCAAAGGTCAGCCTTTTGAACCCAGGAGCTGGTCTATGGAAGATGAGGCAGTCTGCTTCCACAGATTACAGCCTTGGGAACCCTTTGGGGCAGTTCTACTCCTGTAGGGTCTCTAGGAGTCCTAATGGACTCTGTGGAACTGGTTTTTTGGGTTTTGTGAGCTGGGGAAAAGGCCTGAAGCCCTGGACCAGGAGTCTAAAGCAGCAGCCGACCCTTCACCCCTCGTAGGTTCTGCATCTGTCAAGGGGAGGCACCTAATAATTAGCAATTAATAGATTGTGGAGTAAAGATGATCATTTATGAAAAATGCTTCATAAACTGCAGAGGGCTTCAAGGCCACCCAAAGGTCAGCGACTGTCATTACTAAGAATGAATGCTTGTCCCCTAGGGATGATGGGGGGCAGGGGGGAGCGAGCTGCACTGCCTGAGGGTCCAACCCCAGCTCCTAGGGTGGGAGAGGGAAGAAGGGAAGAGGACTTGGGAGCCCAGCCCAGGTGCTCAGGACTGGTCCCTGATCCGAGTTGGGGGGTTCTTTTGGGGAAAGGCAAGCGCTTTAGAGGTACTCCTGGGGTGGGAAGACTCAGGCCAGCGGGGTCGAGGCTGAGCGAGAGCTTGGGGCGCTCTGTAGGGGCCCGGTAGGCCGGACTCGGAGGGTGGAGAGGCGTGTCCGGCCTGGCCCGGCCCCCTCCTTTAGGCCCGCGTGTCGCGCTGACACTGCGGCCGGCCAGGCGTGCGCGCGGCGGGGCTCGCGGCCTTTGTGCGGGTGGCGCGGGCGGCGGCGGGCTC